AATAACATCAAATGATTTTAATGATATAGCTATGCCACAATATGTAAATATAGTTTGGTAATCTCTATGCTGAACCAAGAATGAAAAGCTAAAAATAAAAGAAAGACATTCTAATAATTTTACATTAAATTTGCTCTTCATATAAAATCATCTTTAATAGGCTTCTCCTATCTAATATAAAAATGGAAAGAATTAGCATGAGTGGAATCTGAGATGTTGGCCTATCTTACCAACTTAAACAAGATATCTACAACCTACTATTTAACTCTGAAACCTTTTTAAAATGAGAGGATTATCAGAAAATGCCCCTAATTTTAAGAACATAGTAAAAATAAATTAAAATTGTGAAGAAAGGAAATTCGATAAATTATTTTAATGTTTATTTTTCCTAGAAAGATTTCTTATAGATATCATTCCCTTTTGTAGCTCCAAAATATGGAAGATTAATATGGCCACCTAGAGGAGAAAACATGATCAACAAATATGTGATCACATTTTCTTACTTTTTCTAGAATATCTGTATTTCAGATTTATAATATATAAACTGTTCTAAAGGACCCAACCGAAGGGGCTAACCATGCATGAAACAGACTCAGGGAGAATACTAAAGTAGCAGTGATGACCTAACAGAAGCCAAACAACATTCATTTTGCAGTGGACTTGACAAGTACAGTTTTTATAACTTACTGTGTGACCTTAGGTTAAAAATTACTTATTCGATCTAAAATCTCTTTCCACTTCTGTAAAATGGGGATAATCTTATCTACCATGATGAGTTGCAGTGAAGATTAAATATGATAATGTGTACGGAAACTAACAGAGTCAAGTGCAGTAGGAGCTCAATAAATGGTAGTTCTTACCACCTGGTCAGAAAGTTCTCCTGCACTGGTCTCTCCTAATGCCCAGTCAGGCCCTGACCCTCTCTACTCTTGTGGATGTTTCTAATATTGGCTGTTCCAAAGCTTCTGTACTGGAATTATTCAGAGTGTTGAGAAATGGACTAGTGGTTCCTTATCCGCACTAATGAGTTAATAGTATATCATGTAAAAAACATACATTTAAAAATATTTTTCCTTCTACCTTGTAATTCCCTTTAGTTACCTGAACCCACATTAGTCAAATCTATCTTTATAAACTTGCAGAATAAAAGGTCAGAGTACTAAAAAGAAGCACAATCTACTCTAGTCATCCCTTTACTTGTACCTTAGGAAACTGAACCAAATCCTACCAAGAGAACTGTACTTACTAGTCCTCGTAGGTGACCAGCCATGAACCGAGCAGTATTTCTGCTGAGTCAGCTATGCAGAGGCACAACCATCTGGTGGAGACTCAAATATGTATTAGAAGCAAATCCCCCTCCTCCCTGAACATAGACCAGAGAAGGGTTACTATTGTTGGGTTGGAGGGAGAAGGTGAACGCTTGGGTTATAAACCCCTTCACCTACCTCTCTTTCTTGACTCTGAGAGTTGATAAGGAGAGAGTTAAGTGGTAAGAAAGTGTAGGCAGCAAATATACACTTTCTTACCACTTATTCTTTCCTTAATAACATTGAATCTAATTATTATTCTACACTACTAAAACAAATTGAAAGTTACTGACCAACTTCTATTGGACAAAGAGGCTTGTCTGAATTTTCATCCTCCCCAATCTCTCTGCAGCATTCAACTCTCCTTCCACGGTTGATAAAATACAATACATATTTTTCTGATTCTCCACTTTATCACTTTTACTTTCTCTTTACACCCTTAATTCTTCCGTTAGTGAAATGAAATGATTCTCTTATCGTTTCTCTCCATACATTCTCCCTCATCAATTTAATCCATTCCCATGGTTTCTATTCTCTAAGCACATATGATCTGAAAACCTCTCTCCCTAACCCCATTCATGATTTCAAGATCCACAGCCATTTCCAACTGCTTAAATAACCTGCCTTGTCATATATACAAAACGACTTTTATCTCTCACCTCCCACTACTTCTAACAAAAAAACAGATCCCTCTCTGGACTTGCTATTTATATGAATGACCTCATCATTCTCCTAGTCATACATGCTGGAAATCAGTGTCATCTTTGACACTTCCTTCCTTCTTTCCAGTGTTCCAAACACATTCAGTTCCTAAATTCAGTAAATTGTACCTCTATGTCTCTCCTATCCTTCTATATTCCTATTGTCACCACTGTAATTCAGATTTTTACCATTTCCCACATAGACTACTCCAAAGACTTCCTTAACTGGTGTCTTTTCCTATAGTCTTCCTGTTGCTAAATCAAACTTCCTAAAGCACATCCCTGATCATGGCTCCTTGGTGAAAAACTTTCAGTGAGTTCTTAGTGGCTAACAAATTACATCCAAACTTCTTACTCAGGGAGGCACTGCAGGCTTTAGATCTCATCTCTCTCTCCATTTTATTTCCTACTCCTATATATCCTATAGTCATTCACCAAGATATACTGAGACCATCCCTAAATCTGCAAATTCTTTGCCCCCAATTCATTGCAAATGAGGATCTCATCACTGTTTATCTAACTGGTCCTTTCTGCCTCCAGTAGCTCCTACCTCCAATTCATCTTCTGTTACAATAGTTAAGTAATCTTTCTTAAATATATTGATCTAAAAGTGCCACAATGTCCAGCTTAAAAACCTTCCAGGGATCTACATTTCCTGTAGACAACATCCAAACTCCTAAGCACAGCATTCAATCCTATTATCTGCCCCTTTTCCAAACACAGATCCTAAGTTAAAGACACTGAAATACACTCTCTTCTGCTTTCACACAATCACTATTTCATAGTTGTTGAACTAGTTCTCACTCAAGTCCAGTTCACCCAGTCTGTGAAGACTTCATTAGACTTCCCCATATCCTCAACCTCCCAAACAAAGTCTGAGTCACCTCCTCCTCTGTTTTTCTACAGTACTTTGTTCATGTAACTAACAGACCTCTTATCACACTATATTACACATATACTCACTGGACTTCCTCCTCCAGTCTGTGGGCTCTTTGAAAGAAGCTTGTTTTACTCACCTTTATTTCCACAGTATCTAGTATGGCACATAAAAAGCTTTCAATAAATGCTTATGAAATAATAAATCTAATTTCAGAATGCTTAAAATCAATCTACCCTGGGTGTTTTATCAAATAATTTAGAGTAGAAATGGTAGAAAAGTACAGGTAGGTCCTAAATATACAGGTAAAATGAAACGAGAAGGTGATTCCAGGGCACTTGCACCAGTTCCAGAGATTAGGGCAAGAAGAGAAGAGCCGCTGAGGTTACGCTTCTCTCCTCACAGCTTTCCCCACAGACTACAGAGCCGTGCTAAAATAACAGGACTACAGGGAACAAGCAATCAAGGCAGCAGAGGAGGGTAGGGGTGAGAGGAAGAAAGAGTGAGTAGGGAAAAATAAAAATCCTCAACAGAAGATGCAAAAAGGAAAGTGTCTAGGGTCACAGATTACAAACTCAGGGCCTGCTCATGACTACTCACTATCACCAACATCACTGTTTTCACTACCCTTATCCACAACTCCCATTTACTGATCACTTATCTATTAGGTGCCAGACACTATGCTAAAAACTACCATATACGTATTTTACGTTCATATGACAACACTATCAGGAAGGCATTATCCACATTTTTAGAGACAATGAAACAAACTTCAAAACAACGAACTATACTGCCCAAGGTTGAGCCAGAAAGTGAACAAGGATCAGGCTTCAAAACTCATTCTCTTTCTGCTCTACTATTCATGTGCTGGGGATGTACATAAGTTGGGGACTGGCTTTACTGCTCTGCATTGTTTAGTTATCTTTCTAAGTACATGTCTTATTTTCTATAGTTCTAGTAAGGTATTTTGGAGGGTAGAGCCCACGTCTAATATTTTTTATTTCTTTCCCAGCATCTCACAATGAGCTTTCTATATAGTAATCACTTAGTATTTGATTAACTTCTTATACCTGTGTACTAGCAGAAAGAAAAAGGGAGGTATATCAATCTTTAGTTAGCATTAAGCCAAATACAAAATAGGTGATTTAGCTCCTTTGACAACTGTATGTGCTAGGGTAAGACTTTAAGTCATCAATAGTAATAGATCCTAAAACATTACAGCTATAAAATTCAGGATAGTTGGTGTTTGGTATAATAATAATAAATAAAATAATAATAAATAATATAATAATAAATAATAAAAACGCTACGATATACGCTCTTTTCTTTATATCTGTGTATAAAGATAATAATTACCAGGAGCAGCCCATATATTGTATCAAGCACACAAACAACTTAAATGTAGAAATAAATATGCTTTAGTTATTGGCAAAATCTTTTTTATTTCCCTTACAGAAAGATGTAAAAACATGTGAGAGTGGATTTTATCTTCCACACAGGTTGAGTTCTAAAGTCAATGTCAGCACATGAGGCAAAAATCAATTAGAGACAAAATAATCGATGGAAATTTCTTAAATCGCCCTTAAAGCATAGTATAATATACTATCAGCTCTCAATAAATCCATCTCAGACAGTTTTTCCTCCCGCACGGAACAGATCACCATTTCTTCTGCTGTGTGTAACATGAAATATTTGGCTCATGTTTAGGAGCCATATTGAATGAAAAAGCATGCATTTACACACTGGAATCATATCCAACATTATGAGATACTCAGACTGTACCAGTTCCTTAACAGGTATTTAGGAAGTGATTCCATCTGAAAGAATAGCAGATTCACATCTTCCATCTCATACTTGTTAGGCATATGTTCATTGTGGAAAGAGAGCTCGAATTACTACTGTATCTAAATTATTTGCTGTTTTGCTTTTGGGTGTTTTGGTTTTAGGCTTGAGTTCAAAGATTTGAATTTGAATAAATTATATTCCCAGAAATGTAACTCTACTGTATGTGCAATCTCGTTTATTGTGCAAACACAGATGCCTAGAATTTTAGGCACAAATAATCTAATACTGTAGTGTGTCATCTAAAAAAATAAAATAATTAACCTATCTTACCTTCATCTATTGATGCTTCACTACTGTATCCATCATACTCTGCAGACAGAGGACTATATTTTTGTCTTGTATCCCAAGTATAGTTCTTTTGTCTAGAATCTGCCAATGGCAGTCTGGAATTGTGTGTTCTGGATAAGGCCTCATGATATTTACCCAGTGCTTCATCTTCACTTTCAGAGGATGAACACTGCTCATCTTTGTCCATGTAGGAATTATCTATTTGGAATAAGGAGAACAAATCAAAATTTTAATGCAATAAAGAATGATGAATTTGCTACAGTTTTATATATACATTACATATACATATTATATATATAATATATGTCATATATATCCATATACACACAAACACAAATATATGTAAAATATACATACACACATGTATGCACACAACCTGAATTTTCAGCTTTAGAGAAATATAATTTTATTCACTTAAGAAGCCCAAGCTCCAGGGCCGGCCCCGTGGCACAGTGGTTAAGTGCACGCGCTCCACTGCTGGTGGCCCAGGTTAGGATCCCCGGTGCACACAGATGCACCGCTTGTCAGGCCATGCTGTGGCGGCATCCCACATAAAGTGGAGGAAGATGGGCACGGATGTTAGCTCAGGGCCAGTCTTCCCCAGCAAAAAGAGGAGGATTGGCATGGATGTTAGCTCAGGGCTGATCTTGCCCAGAAAAAAAAAAAAGAAGCCCAAACTTTAGATTTTTGTGTTTTAATAGAAAAAGATCGGTTTGTATATTCTAACTATACAAATAACGTTAGTCACAGGGATTTCCCAACCATGTTACAGATAGAAAATAGTAATAATGCTCGTCACCTTACACAATTTATTTAAAGGCTCAGTAGCACACAAAGCAAGTTATAAGTACTGCCAGTAAATACGGACCTGACTCAAATAATGCATGTTACAGGAGACAATTTTGGTTATCATCTTAGCCAAAATTTTCAAAACTGACAATGCTTAGCGCTAGGAGTGGAACACAGAAATGAGTAGACATATATTATTGGTGGATATTACCATACAACTTTTCTAGAGAGCAATTTGGCAATACATATCAAACTTTTAAATCTGCACAGTCTTTAATCCACTTCTCAGAATTTACCAATTCTAAGAAATCATCCTAAGAAATTAACAAGTGAGCACATATATATATTTGAGACAATCTACTGCATTGTGTTTAATAGTAAAATAAAACAAAAATAAAATATAACCTGAATGTCCATCTTTGGGCCTTGATTAAGTAAATTATGATATATCTACACAATGATAGACTAAACAGTCATTAAAAACAAGGAGGTAAACTTACAAGTACTCACAGGGAAAGAATAACTATAACATCACATTAAGAGAAAAGAGAAGGTTATAAAATAGAAGGTATACTTACATTATCATTTAAAAATATATACACACCTCCATGCAACATACACAACATACACACATACATGCAATATATGTTTATATGTATGTACAAAAATGTCTGGAAGGATATGTACCAAACTTACACAACAATTATTATCCATGAAAGGTGGAATTACTAGGAAAATTTTACTTGAATATACCTAAATTTCAAATACACTTTTCCAGAGGTATGAATTTTATTTTATTTTTCAAAGCACTAGTTATATTACCATTTTTTTAAAAAAGGTAAAAATTTTGAAACTGCACCATGTTGCGATTCATTTAAACCAAGATGCAACTTTCTTAGAATTATAAAACAACTCTAGAAGGATGAAGAGACCACAGCAGGTACAATTTATTAGTTCAGTCCAGATATTTTTCTCTTTATACTCAGTTGAGATCACCTGTACTAAAGGAATCAAGGTTTGAAATTCAGGTAGAGAGACAGAGGATAAGTAATTTTAAAATACGTGATAGAAATTGAATGTTTACCACTAGAAGTAAGGGAGCTTGGATGTCACTAGTCTAAGTCCCACTTTTTAATTCAGTAAAGCCAAAAAGGGTAAAATTATGACCAATGTGTTATTCTGCACTGCCCAATACGTAGTCATTAGCCACAGGCAGCTATTTAAATTTAAACTAATTAAAAATAACAAAATTTAAAATCCAGTTCCCCAGTGCTACTAGCCATATTTCAAGTGCTCATTAGCCACGTGTGGCTAGTGGTTACTATATGGAACAATACAGATATGCAGAACTTTTCCATCATTGCAGAAAGTTCTATTGGACAGTACTGAGATGATGGCAGATCTGCTCTAGAACCTAGGCATTCTGACTCCCAGTTCAGAGCTTTTAGTACTTGTGGGATACCATGGTGGTGGTCTTAAGGCAGCAGGAGCGCTCTGAGGAGGGTAATCAGAAATTCTATAGTCACACTTCACCTATTACAAAATATTACCTATGGTAGCCCTACATTCAGAAATAGAGAAGGAGGGGCTGGCGCGGTGGTACAGCTGTTAAGTGCGCGCGCTCCACTAAGGCGGCCCAACCGAGGGTTTGCAGGTTTGGATCCTGGGCACACACCAACACACCGTTTGTCAAGCCATGCTGTGGTGGCGTCCCATATAAAGTAGAGGAAGATGGGCATGGGTGCTAGCCCAGGACCAATCTTCCTCAGCAAAAAGAGGAGGATAGGCATCAGATGTTAGTTCAGGGCTAATCTTCCTCACCAAAAAAAAAAAAAAAATAGAGAATGAAACTCCTCTTCCTCTTTCTATACCTTATAAGCTCTACGTCAGAACCTAGAGCACAGGTACTAGTAATATTACAGTTCAGCTATCTGAGGAGACAATCTATGGGTCAAATGATTTTCAAAATGATTTTCGAACATAACATGTTTTAGTTTAGTACTGACTATAATCTAGAATACTTAGATATTTGGATTCTTTAAGCACACTTCTTAGTGAAAACAAATCAAAACGAAATTAAAAATTCTGTATTGCTACTTGTTAAGTATTTATTACTAGCATCCAATCTAATGTTATTTTCTGAATAAAATAATACATAAACTATTCTACTTGATTTTGTTTATTTTTGCTACTTCAAGAAATAAGGCTACCAAAACCAAACCAAGGCTACCAAACCCCACCGAATCTGACATTCAAAACACTGCTAGAAGAATAGACTCCAAAATGGACATATTTCCAAAACTCAGCATTCTTTTTTAATTAGTTCATCCATCCTGAATCAGCCTCTATTACGTCATTTAAAAATCATTCATATAATTGGTAAACAGCAGATCCCTATTATGTATGAAGTCACCTAGCAGAACTGAAAAAGTCTTCCTCATTTCTACTACTACTCAGTTTTTTGTTATTTTATGAGAATCTAAATTTATAGAAAAATTCCAGATATATATTTTATAAATAAAAGCCAGTGCACATTTGGCCTTGTGATCAGATCAGCAATAAATGGAAATAACTAAGGGATTACCAGAAGTAATTACTAGCAGTATGACACAATTCTGCAACCAAAACCAAATAATTCTTGGCTAATTGTTTTGAAAACTGTCAAAACATTGTGGTTGAAAACTATAAATGCTTAGTTGGAATCTTAATTCTACATAGGGAACTCATGAATGATAGCTTGTTTATTTATACTCATTGTAAACAACAGAACAGTCACAAAAAATTCTTAATGGATGGCTAAATGAATAGACATATCCTGATTCATGTTATTCAATAAAATAAAATCTACTACTCTCAAGGAAAAATATAAAACATTTGATATAGATTCTTATTAGGATAGATTTGAAGAACAACATCGTATAAAGGACTTAGGGGTTAGTTACAAAAGTATAAAATTTTAAAATTCAACTATACACACCAAATAAATTCCAACTAACGCATGCACACTACTTAAGCAAACCATGGAGTTTCTGGCTGTAAAATAAATGGCCATTAAGAAAAACATTAGGAAAAATTAGGGCCCTTAAAAATTGGCCAAGTAATGCAGAAACCAGGGGCAATACTTAGCTTAGTAGTGTACAAATAACATGAATGCTCTTGAAGTGATTGTGAGAAAAAAACGAATGACTTAAAAAATGTCCCCTAGAAAGAAGATTCAAGAAAGTCATGTATAGACATGTATAGGAAAGATCAGAAATTTGGAAGATGTATTCCTAATTTGAAAAATATCAAGAAAAAATTTTATCACTCAAACTCACATTAGGAGACCTCACCTTTTTTTGGTACTATCTTAGAATATTTTTCATCTTTACTCTTTGCTGTTCCTTTCTTGGCAGAAATGGCCTCATTTTTCTTTGTTTTTATGTCTCCTTTCATTTTGCAGTATTTTGCTGGATTTATTTGTTCTTTGATTTTTCCATGTAACTTATCTTTAGAATTAGTTGGTAGTGCTGGATGTATATCTTCTTTGATAATGGATTTCTGTGTCATATGTCTATTGCTTGCCAAAACACCTTTTGGAGAATATTCATTTCCTGAACAATCATTCCCTTTGGATCCTTTACCTTTAATATGTTTTTCAGCTTTCTTTAAATGATTTTCTTTTATTTCTTGATATCTTACCTCCTTTAAATCATTCTTACCATTACTGGAAATTCCTAATCCAATTTTTTTACATCTCTCAGTACTTTCAAGATCTTGACAAGCAGATCCAACCCTTGCATTCTGCTTGATAATTGATATCCTACCATCACTCGTGTGGTTTTTCAGAGAAGAATCACCAGCATTATCGGTTTCTTGATATTTTGATAGACTCTGTTGCCTACCATGAATATGTTTAATCATTCTTTCTTCATTCATTCCTTGATCTTGCTCTTGCGAAACTGAAGTATTATAACAACTTATTTGATTTGCTCGGTGCTCTAAACTGGATTGTGTTTTCTGACAATTAGTGTTTTTGGAGACTTCTGGTAACACAGCATTTTCTTGTTTAAAAGTGTCTTCAGCTTCTACTGCTGCAGTTTTTTCCTCTTCTGGGCGAAAGCCATTTATCATACTTGTTACCTGTTCAGCAACTGAGTCAGTTAAGGCATAGCTGACTTCCCCAACAGCAGTGGTCAAATCTTCTACAGCATTACTGATTGTGTTCACCAGAGAGGACACTGATGGTAGATTCTGCTGAAAATTTTTGAAAAATGCCATTTTCTAATTCCTTGTTCCAAAAAGGTGCAATAATGGAATTTTCTCTTCTCAAAATATCAACCACTTTGGAATCTGAATTTAATATTTACTTAAATGTTGCTACTCATCAGCTCAATATTAGTATTTCACATTGTGGCTTTTACTCTTTCTGTAAATGCATTACACATTGGAAGAAATATGTTGAAGCAAAGACATCCAGGAAAAAAAAAAAATCAAACCACTTGGTTTAAATGGAACGACACTTTTTCCCACTCCATAGCTATCATAACAGCAGCAAGACAATATTTTCCCCTCAAAAACTATTGGTTTTTTATTCTATACCTGCAAGAAAAAGTATAAAAATGATTTTTATTATGCACTTTTAATTTATTTACTATTAGTCTCTGTAGGGGAACTACCCTATCTCACTAACAAACTACCAATATCTTTTCAAATTAAGAAAAACATTAAGCGGAAAATATCTAAACAATTTTGAGGTTAGAATAGGGGAGAGCAGAGGGTGAACATCTGCTGAGTGGCTACTACATGCAAGGCACTGTGATTTACAAATTTTATCTTACTTGATCTTACAATAACTCTAGGAGGTAAATATTATTACTCCTATTTAATAAGTGAAAGAAAAACAAGGCTCAGAAAAATCAAGAAGGTCCCCAAGACCTTTCCAATGGATCCTCAGGGTCAAAAATATTTTTATAATAATAGTAAAAGAATATTTAACTTTTTCACTTTCATTTGCTCACAAATGAACACTGGCATTTTCCAGAGGCTACACGACAGACTGAATGCAGAAGCAGATCTGAGAAATCAGTTGTTACTTTCCTCTATACCAGTCATTAAAGAGGTTTCCAAAAATGTAAAACAGTGTCACTCTTCTCACCAAACTTTTTTCTTTTGGTTTTAGAAAATATATAGTTTTTTTTTAATTAAAAAATGTTATTTATATTAACATATAATAGGCTTTTGTTGGTTTTTTAAAAAAAAAAATTTTAATTTTTCTCAGTTTTAATTTCTAATATAGTACATTTCAATAGATATAACTCACATAAACAAAAGCTCTTTGGGGTCCTCAATAATTTTTAAGAGTGTAAAGGGGTCATTAGACCAAAGAAAAACCAGAAATGCTGAACTAGAAAATTATTAGAGGCTGCTAAAGAGACATCTTTAACCAGTTCATTCTACACAAATGACCAAAAAGTGTGGCTGAAGTATGAGAAACAGTCAACTTCATCAAATCAAAACCACATAAAGTACTATAGTTTCCTAATGCAAAAGTTAAGGATGTAATTCAATAATAAATAGATTTTTATAAACAATGAGGCTATCACTTTTTAACTTATCAGAAGAGAAAAACATCTCTCCAACACACGTCCATAAACAAGAAAAGCAAGGTGCCTCTGCTCTGGTTTCTCAAAATATTTCTAAACTAACACCCGGCTTTTCTAATTCTCAACTTGCTCCTGCTAGCATTTATATAAGCCAGTCTTTGGAAACAGCAAAGAAAGAACTCTTATAATAATGTAAAATAATAGTGAAGGAAAAAGTTTTCCCAGGAAAGCTTTTCCCTAAGAGAAAGAACAGTATCACAGCCCTAGTCTCTATTAACAATACGTGATATAATGCCTATGGTGCCAACAGAGGGAGAGGAACACTCGTTTTCATAACCAGACTTTATCCATACACTAACTTACTAGGGGGAAAGAAAAACGCCTTCTGCAAACAATGAAATTATCCATCAGCTGAGAATTCAAAAGCAGGTAAAGAAGCAGGGCGAATACGTTCAAAAGCCTTCTAGGGACATTGAAAGAAAGCCCTCTAGAGAGTCATTTGGACAATGGATTTAAGATATATAAAGCAACAAGATACCTCCTTCTTAAAGCATATCTGCTCATAGGACAGGCTCAAAAGCATACCTTATATATGAAAAATAAGACTGTCATTTTGTGAAAGTACACAATTCATCTTTATGCAATTTATTAGCAATTCATGGGGAACAAAGAAAATTGAACACAGTTTACTTAACAGATCTTTTACTCTCACAGAATAGTGGTTCAAAGGTTAGTTTACAATATGTCAAAACCATTTTCATTGTATATATTTTTTAAAAAATAATAGAATAGTACAGATAAAAAGAATAAGAGAAGCAGTATGATACTTACACATTTTATCTTGTGAATTCTTCCTTGTACTGTATCCTGAACCAAGATCTGGAAACCCGCCAACATTTTCAAAACAGAACTTCTTATTAATATAGAGAAAAAGGAGCAGCATCAAGATAATAAACACCCCAACAGCTGACAAAAATCCAACTGCCTCTGGAGATACTAGAGAAAAAAAAGTCACAGCCGTAAGCATTTATTCTTTTTTAAGCTACAACTAAGAAGGAAACCCCAATACGTGATAGATTATTGCCTTACTTGAATTATACTTTTAAATTATCATAGTTTACAATAGTTTAGTTTACAAGAAAAACAAACTACACAGTTTAATAAATTGTTCAATTCATTCAACAGCATTTATTCAAATCTTCTACAACTTTCCCTATAAATTATGTTGAAAAAAATCTTAAAAAACAGGAGTCTTCAAAATAAGACAGTTATATGTTTAGTCCATTGAAGAGCATTACAAAAAGTTTAACACAAGAATTAGAAAAAATTATTTCCCATGCACAGGTATATTACTTAAACATTTGTGAGAACTTACATTATTCTTCTTATCTCTAAAAGCTTCAATAGCCCTTTTTTATTAAATAAACTGGACATCTTAACCTGGCATTCAAAGCTCCAGCCTCTCTCTTCATTATTACACTCCAATCAAATGGTTCCGCTCATTGTCTCAGAATCAGCTATATACATTATTACCACGCACCTTGTTTTTATTCATCCTCTTCCCCTTGCCAGGAATGACCAAGTCTCCTTTCTACCATATCCCACTCATTCACTAAACCAACAAGTATTTTTGGAGCCACAGCCACACACCAGGGATTATCATACACAGTTCCTGTCTTCCATGAACAATCTGGTGAAGGAAGTTACAATGTAGTGTAATGAAGGCTATGAATGGGGAAGAACAAGATTTATGAAATCCATAGGAACAATCTAGTGTTGAAGGATCAAGTAAGCTTTTCTGAAAGTTATGGCCTCTATGATTATATTTTAAGAATTAGTAAGCATTAGCTGAGTTAACACTATCTCAGGCAGAAGATACAGCATGTGCAAAAGTCCAGAGACAGGAGATCACTGTATATTCCAGAAACTCAATGAAACTTTGTTATGATGAACTACCAGATTCTCAAGAGAATCTGCTCTCAAGAGAACACATGAAATCATCCATGGAGATTTTGTCGAGTGAGAACAGATAAAATCTTCTCCAACTTCTCCAATCCTCAGCAATCTCTCTTTCTTTTCAACATTTGTATTATTTGTCACTACGTCAGTCACCTGGAATTCAAAAGGAACTACATTTTTGTATCCCCAGGTACCTTACATATAATACTCAAGGATTAGTTGAGAATGAATCCTAAGCCTCAAATATCCTCTACAACCTACAACCTACTCATTCTTCCTCCATCTCAAGCAGCAACTAAAATATCATCTCCTCCAAGATTTCTTCTTTAATCAGAAGGGCCACGGCAACCAGCATCTAACTCATTTGTTTAAAATGAAGTCACCAATCGGTCAATGATGAGTGCTTTAATCTCCCACCTTTTCATTATTTGGAAAAGCCAGGCATCCCAGGTGTTGAACTGATAGGACATAATAGTCTATTCAAAACTGGGCCAATAGTATCATGGTGGAGGATGGAGCAGAGTGATACTGGAAGGGAGGGGCAGTGAGAGTGAGGGAGGAAGTGGTAGGAACAGTGGAAGTGCTATTTGCATATGAGGCTGGTGCTGAGGAACACATCCTGCTACTGAAACCAAGAAGTTATACCCACACATCAGCCCTGCCTGACTCGTTCTCAGGCTGTAGAATAGTGAGGAAAGAGAACAATATTTTAATAAATGAATCTAAGGCACATGACATAAAAACAGTGGTATGCATCAAGCCTGAAGGATGAAGTAAAAATGAAAACAGAACAATTATCATCAGCATTTCTAATAGCTAGGAAGGGCAGAAGCAGGACAGAATCCGGAATGAAGAGGCAAAATGCTCAATATACTTATATCCAGTGTTACACTGTAAATAGCAAATACGTACAGGAGCTCCCCTTTTAGCCCAGGCCCAAAACACACTCAGCAATTTGATGCCTTAGGTGAACACAAAGGGGTAGATAATACGCAGTCTGAAAATTTCCCATCTTTTAGACTAAATGAGAGAGAAGACATCGCTCACCTCACTGAAGAAAGCTAGTTATTGCTAATAAAAATAGAAAGAAACATATATAGCCTACATTATGTGCTATTCACTGTTTTAGGTACTTGACATATATTAACTCTTTTAATCGTCACAATTATCCTATTATTATCCCCATTACAAACTGAGATACGGAGATATTAAACTATGTGCCCAGCTAGTAAGCAGAAGAGCCAGGACTCAGATCCTGTCTGGCTCCAGTCTGCGTTTCTAACTACTGCTCACACTGCTTTTCCTGTTTTCCTTCTCTCCTTCTCTTCCTGCCTCTTTCTATCCCTTGCCTCAAATTTTACTTCTGCGTTCCTCTTTGATCTACCTCCTTCCCATTTTTAAATTTAAGCTGGGGGAAAGAACAACTATCAACAACTATAACGTAGTAAGTACTATAATAGAGGTATGACTATAAAGTATTACTGGAACACAAAGAAGAAATACTACCTGGGGAAGTTACAAACACTTCAGAAAGGAGATGACACTTGAGAAGGGCATGAGAGATTAATAGAAACTACTACACAGTAAAAGGGTAGATGAAAGAGCATGGTCTAAGACACAGAAACAATGTGCATGGCATGGCATTCTAACAGCACTAATGCGCAATAGTCATGGCTGCCTTAATTACCTCTGCATCCTCAAAGCACCCATCACAATGCCATGTAGCTGACGTTACATAAACCTTTGTAAATGAATGAATGAGTGAGTGTTCAGGAAAGATCAAGAATATACCAGAGGAGCTGTGACTGGAGATGAAAGCAAGGTCCAAACTGTCAAAGAACCGTGAATACCATGCTAAAGATTTTATACTTGTAGAACTATATTGCTTAAAACAATCAGAAAACTGGAATACAGTAGGGAGTGAATGGTGACAAACTATGAGGAGGTCTTAAACTAGGCAGTAGCAGTGGTGGCAGAGAAGAGGGGTGAATTTGTTCAAGGACAATTGGTAATAACCCAATCAATTAGACGTACAGGATGAGGATAAAGAGAAGTTGAAGATAATTCTAAAGTTTCCAGCTTGAGTGAATGGGTAAATGGTAATGTCATTAACCAAAATAAAAAAATATGAGGAAAGTGGAAGGAGAGAGGTAGATAATAAGTTTGGTTTTTGGCATGTTACATTAGAAATGTCGGCAGACATTTCAGTGTGGGTGCCTAGTAAAGAGAGGGAAATATGAGTATGGTGCTCTGACGAAGGTCAGGTCACTTATAAAGGATTTGGGAGTTGTCTCTTTTGCTCACCCTATTCCATGTGAAAGACTTCACTGCCTAAATACAAACCAAACTGGCAAATGATAGGTACTAGGCTTTATTAATGGTAAATCTCTTACTCTTACAAACTCTTAGATAAATATATACTGTGAATTTGGACAAATTTTTTAAAGAAAATCTTTCCCCACTAGGAAAAGGTGAAAGATGCCTGATGTAAATATACTACTCATACAACTCCCTTTTATCCATCAATGACTAAATGCCCATTTTCTACATTCACTGAAAATATTTTATGTATTTAAAATTTTAAAACAGTAATATGGTTGTAGACAAGAAATAAATAATATATTTTCTAAAATAAAATATTAAAAAGCTTCAGACTTCTATTTTTCATCCTTATCTCAGGATTAAAATGATATCTATTTTAAATGACATGATAACTAGGCGTTGGCCAATAACAGTTTTAAGTATAAAAACATTTGATAAATCTCACCTACGCATAAAACTGCAACAGAAAAATACACTGAAATTAACCTAAAGACATGAATCGTATACACCAACAAAAAATTAAATTACATTAACTCAAATCTCACTAATATAAAATACATTTTCATTCAGTATAAGATGAAATTTACTCCTAAAATCTTATTTATACTATGAATCTGCTTATAAAGCTATTCTGCATAAGTATTTCTTAGGTTATGGTTAATTTATCTATACATAAACCTACTCTTTTCAAACTTTCTAGATCGTCCACTGCAGGCAAGTAAATGCTATTTAAAAATGCATATTGCCGGGGCCGGTCCAGTGCTGCAAGCGGTTAAGTGCGAGCGCTTCGCTGCGGCGGCCCAGGGTTCGCCGGTTTGGATCCCAGGCACGCACCGATGCACTGCTTGGCAAGCCATGCTGTGGCGGCGTCCCATATAAAGTAGAGGAAGATGGGCATGGATGTTAGCCCAGGGGCGCCTTTCCCCAGGAAAAAAAAAAAAAAAAAAGAGGAGGATTGGCAGATGTTAGCTCAGGGCCAATCTTCCTCACCAAAAAAAAAAAAAATGCATATTACCTTTTAAGAAGAACGTTCAAAATCTCTATTTAACAGCAGTTAATTAAATTTAGGTTAATATTATATATTTGAAGTAGTAAATTTGCTAAATCAAGCTTGAGTTAGTCAATAACTCAAAATTCACTAATACACTCTTTTCTCATAATCCAAATTCATCAAATTTTAATATGGTAAACAATAAAACCAAGACCAGCTAATAACAAAATTAACAATATCAACACTTAGAGAGTGCTTATTATTTGCTAGGGGCTGTTTTAAATGCTTTACAAGCATTATCTAATGAATCCTCACTACAACCCAATTTCACAGATATAAGTACTGAGGCTCAGAAAGAGTACGTAGAATTTTCAAGATCTTAAAATTATCATTCAGTGACAGAATCGTGATTTGAATACAGGCACACTGACCCCTGCACCCAAAATGTGAAACACCAATCTCCACTGCTTCTTATTTGCCAGGCATTGTTGTAATCTCTTTCACTAAAATTTAATGCTCAAAATAATTTTATGACAGGTAAGTACTATACATTATCTTAGTCTTTACACTAGTAAACTAAAGCCCAGAGAATAATTAACTTGTCCAAGCTCAGAAATCTAGGAAATGGTAGAACCTGGATTTGAACCCAGACATTCTGACTCCAGAGCCCATGGTCTTAACACCAAGCAACACTGCTTCCTTATATGCCAATCTGCAATACAAA